GGTCTTCTTGCAACTATTCCTTTGATGTCTATTCCCTTATCTCCTCTTCCTCCTGTTCTTTTTGATTCGATTCCTATCTTTTGGAGTTTTTTAAGTACTTTTTGTTCAAGAATATTTTCTTTAGCAACGGATGAAAGCATTTTTATTTCTTATGATTTCAATTATACCTTCCTTTACGTGTTCCTGATGGGTCATTTTTATTTTAATATTAAAGTTTTGTTTCTTTGTCATTGAAAGATTTCTTTTGTTAATCATTGATGCTTCTTTTATTATCTTTTAAGGAACTGCGCATGTGGCGTTACTTTAATAAGTATCATGTGTTCTTTTGACTTATAGGGTTGCTTGCATTGCTTTTTGTGCAGTACAATGATTTTCTTGATTCTTATTGGATACAATGATCCATCCCCATACTGACTGGAAGATGGTTAGATTGAATGAGATCATCTTCAAGAGATTTAAGCGAATCCAAGATAGAGCTACAAGAAAAATAACTGTAAATAAAAAAAAGAGAGAAAGACGTTGATAAAGAATCAAACAAGAAATATAATTTTACCAGATGGAATCAAAACAAGGTGAAGAAGACATTTTAGATAATGATGAACGAAAAAACAATATCTCCAATTAAATAGATGAGAAGATTTAACGATCATCACCAAATATAGAATTCGTATAAACAAAACAAAAAAGGAACAGATGATAACAAAAACACCAATAATTTTATTATGATTTGGAAAGTTGTTCTTTAAGAAAGAAAATTTCTAATTCAAGATCACGAACTCTGTCACACAACATCTCAACATAATTAGAAGCTGAACGATTCTCTGGGGGATTAGGAAGAACATCACAGATCATCGTCCTTATAACTCTAAAAGTCTCATTGTCAAACCAACATCTTCTACAATGAGAACTGAAAGAACCACTTTCAATAATTTCTCTAAGCCGATCAGTTTCAGCAAAGCGACCAACACAACTAGGACAAAGGAAAGGTCTTGAAGAAAAAACAACATGAGAAGGAATAGGTAACCTGTAAAGGAAAATAAGTTAAAGTAATGATTGCTAAAAGAAAGGAAAACGAGTTTGATCTCTGGCCAATAACATTTCCTTAAGAAAATAGCAAACAAATGATATTGTATGACTAATTAAAGTCTACCAGTTGCATAACCACTCCTCCATGATTATATCTGATCCAAATTGCTTAGATGCCTGAGCATAATGATGTACCAGACAAAAAAGCGAACTCTATTCACCTTACATGAGATGAACTTGCGAGAACAGAAAAACAAATTTATTAAAGAAGAGGAAAAGAAAAGGAATGTATATAAAGCGAAGGCACTCAAGTGAATGCAATAAGTGAAGATTATGGAATAGAACTCTTGAGAAAGAGAACAATCATTAC